TATTGACTGCTCAGAAGGAGTTAGATTATCTCAATTTTAGCCCTCTAACCTAAATATCTTGTCAAGACTAAAATTCTTCATAGCTGATGGAGGAACATTGTCACTTCCACAGAGCTATTCATGCAATCTTTGGCAGATATCTACATTAGACTGGGAGTTACCCTCTGAAAATACCTGTTTTCTTAACCAGCTGTGCAAGGAGTCCATACTACTCAATCCTAATGCTGTAGGAGGAGTTTTTTGTTACTGTGTACCTCAGTACTTGGCAGCATCCAGAACAGGATCTTTTGAAGTGTTTTGCAGTTATTCTCCCATTTTCCATGTTGACTAAGTATCTGAATTGATAATATCTAGCTACTCATTTTGCCCTCATGTGGACCCGTGAGGTTGCTAGGGTCTACACCCAGACCTAGGATCCAGAAAATGCTGTTGGGTTTGCTCAGAGATACGCAGTCTTAGGCTTGTCCTCTGTTAATGATGGATACAATTTGATGTGATGCTTTTCTCTTCCCCAGTATTATTAATCATCTTGACTTTGCCATCAAACATCTGTAACTATCCACTCAAGATTTACTGTTCATGTTCAGCTCTGCATTATAGAAGCATCCTGTATTGCTATCCAACCAACCTAAACTGATACATTGATATGATTGAGGGATGGTAAATATTGAAGGATGATAAGAACAGGAAAAAAAAATACAGGCAGTCTTTCCTAATGTAAAATATTTGGTTTTGACTAAAGAAGGGTCACAAAAGGGTCACCATTTGTAATGAAGATAAACCTTCTTATTTTACTTCTTTTTAGTCACTGTAATACACGTAAAAGTCCATTAAGTGCCATTTTCTGTCTATTGCCATCAAAGAAAAACATATGAGATCTTTAGTTTGGGAAATCAGTTTCAGTCTGCTGTAACCTACTATTTGTTCCAAGTGGAGTCCAGCACTGTGCACTCCTGTTATGAGTTCACAATATATCCATGTGCTGCAGTCTAACAAAATAAAATAATCTGTAAAGGCTGGAGAACGCTCATTGCCAGCAATGCATAAAAAATGTTTTTCTTTGTAGAGTGAGATTCACTATTTGCAACTAATTTAGAAATTACCAAAGTTTTAATTTCTCTCTTGGCATCTACACTTGTACACAACTGATTTTGTTGCAGAAAGAGTTTTTATGTTCTCTAGTCTCTTGCACAAAAAAGGACCCTCTAATTCTCTAGTGGTAGATGAACAGATGATATACCACAAATCCATTTTTATGAAAACTTAGAACTGGTTGGCTGCACTCATTTTAGCAATGCAAGAATTCAGTGCAGTGTAGCACCTTCCAGGGAGGCAGGCAGTTGTCGCTGCTACAGTGATATTTCTTGGAAGCATCTAAATGAGCATGGTTTATGCACTGCAAGTGGGGACACAAGCCCTGCTACTAATTTTTAAACCATATTTTTTTCCTAATGTGATATCAAAACATGAAATGCAGAAGATATATATATAGTTCTATCTTTATCATGAACAAGAACATTAAGAATTGACTTTTCCTTCTGCACAGATTCATGCACAGACACGTGAAATGAAGTGTGATCTGTCTTCCAGCTGAAAGAGCAGTGCAAATGTATTTCCTGCTCAGATTATTCTTCCAGAGGCTGGCAATAGAAACTTTCTGTATATTAGAAAAAATCCCATGTCTTTATTGAGTAGAAGCTAAAATGTCAAATGGAAGGAAGTAGATTTCAATCCAGATTTACAAGGTGAAATTCCCATTGAATAGAAGTTGTGCAGCCTTCAAATTGACAATTTTCTTTTGAGTCTAGCTATCCTTCTAGGTACCTGATGATACCATGGCAATGAGTATGATAAGAGCTATGTATCAATATATCTTACAGCCCAAAATTTCCTTTGTGCACACCTGATTCATAGAGCTTAGCTCCAACCCCAAGATTTATGGTCACATTTAGACATCTACAAACCGGATCTCTGAATTAATCATCCCGATTTTATTCATCCTCAGCGGTGAGAAGGGGGTAATTCAGATTCTTGTCTTCTCCAAATGAGTATTTGTAGCAAGCTCTGGAGGTACTATCTCTATCATTAGTAAAGGAATGAAGTGATAGCTCAGACTTCAATTGTAACACTAGAAACATGAAAAGCTAGGACAAATAAATCCCACTTCATGTTAATCTGGTTTGATATGGCACAGATGTTCAAACTTTAGCCTAGATAACTTACTTTTCTTTACCCTAACACCAAGTTCAGCAATCACATAGTAGTTTTTCAATGTACAGCAAGTGAAGACCCATAACTGTGCCATTTCTTCATCTTACTGTTTGCTGAAAGTCTGGTGATTAGGAGTGGATTTTATCTACAGGTTTTTTATTCCTCACCTCTCTAACTATGGTGATACATAGTACCATTCACACCCCCTATGACTTTCCTGGAAATGAGACGGTGACTCCCAAAGGGTCTTCACACCCATCAGGTAAAGGAAGTTCAACTAGTACTAAAAAGTCCATTTTAGAAGATGATCATGCAAGCACTGTGTTCCATGAGACAACACTCTTCAGGCAAGATAGAAACTGCCTGGCAGTCAAGATTAGTGAATTTTCTTTGATAACTAATTAATGTAGACATCTGTGGTTCCTGTCACTGTTGGGGATGGCCTTTCCTTGCCCATGCTGGTCAGGGTCTGAGCAGCAGGCAGACCCATTCCACCTGAGGACAGAGGCAACCACTGTAACAAAGCTCTGTCTTAGCAACCACCTCACGCACGTTCGGAATGCAATGCGTCAGACACAGCAGCATGCACAGCCATTCACCTGGGGGACGGAATAATATCACCATTTTTAAAAACAGGACTCTGTCAGGTCTCCCAGGAGGGTTCTGACAACCACAATCATTCATCCACCTTTGCCACCTGGAACTGGTATTAACCATGAGGGAAAAAATGATCGCACAGACTTAAACTTAGATATTGCTGCGAGACAGAAACTGAGAGGAAGCGAAACTTGATATTAAGCAAACACTTATTTTGCAGAATCAATCAAAGCCTAAATCTAACACCAAATGACCACAATGAACGGGGTAAAACATATTTATTCCTTTTGCATATTGCTTCCAAACAGCTAATAAGAAACAGGGCTCTGTCTAAACATGCAAAATGTAAAACTGGAGGAGCTGTACACTTCAGAATCATCTGCTGATTAACATCACACAGGGTTATCAAATCCAACAGCACAGCATCTAAGGGTTTTGGGGTAGTAGCCTGTGGGAAGCCATTAGGCTTTTAAAACACTTGTGCAAGCCTGTCATCTTCAGCCTTAAGAGTGTGACCCAAAACTCCAGAGTTATGATGTATTGTACAGGCTCACTGTTTGTATCTCATGGCCTCAGTATGCAGATGATACTTGGAAAATTAATCTCAGAACTTTAAACCCTTTAAGACTTATACCTTCTGGATTTTATTCTAGGGTCTTTTGAGGAAAAAAAATCTTGAGGCTAAACATCCTATCCCAGGAAAATTGTGCTATCATGGCATATATTTAACAGTTCAAGACTGTGGACCAAACAGAGTCTAACAAAACTGAAATGAAATCTTCACTTTTAGGAGTGCCCTGCGGGATTCCCTGGCCAATTCAGATCAATGTCTGATTTTTCTACAGTCCTGTTACTTTTAGTGTTTTATAGTTAAAAATGCAAACCAGATTATATATTTTTAAGTAATATTTTCTATTTCATGTAGTTTTGGAGCAGTGGGAAAAGGTTGCTCACAACAGATTTGTTAGATTACCATCACATTTTTTCACTGTAACAAAAACCATAGCACAGTGGAATAAAAAAGTTAAAAAGAGACTTAAAGTACATCAGAATTTATTCCTAAAAAGGGTAGTTCAGGGTATCTTCCTCGTGGAAATTGAGACTTTATCTGCTTTTACTTTAAGGAAATCAGAAGGGACTCTAAAAGGACATTTTCTCACAAAGTGTGACACAGTATATTCCCCTCCCTAGGGTAAAGAGCATAAAAGGTGTTCTTTCTCAGATGGGGTGCATGCTCATCCACTAATCTATGCAGCCACTGTACTGTGTGCGAATGCAAATCACCCATGTATGCCACAGCCAATTTCTCAGTTGCCTGTCTCCACAGTATGCATGTGCATTATGTATTATATGTTTAAGAGTGCATCAACTCCCTGGTGAAAAATCAAGAAAACTTCCGTGTCCTCGTGAAAGAAAATGTGGAATTATTTTATACACGTCCAGCCAGGTCAGGCTGCAGTATGTTCTCGGGAGAAATTCCAGCTGAATTAAGACAGCACTGCTGTACAGTGATGTGGTGGATACAGAGGGACTGGGGACAGCTCAAACACAGGAAGCAGCATGGCTGTATCAGCATGGTGCTCTCTGTAGACTAATTAGTCCTGCTAAGAAGCTGGACTATTAAGTCCATGCTAAATGCAAATGCATGCCTTCCCCTTGGGCTGTGCTGAACGAGCTCTGCTGAGGAAGGCTTTTCTGTCTGGAACCAGGGACCTCTAACAGCCACAAAAACTTATGAAGCTGTAAAGCATAAGGAGATTGGCCAGTAAGACAGGGACATTTTCAGGGAGAGAGCCCAGGAAGGCCTGGGAGCTCATTTCCATTGCTCCAAGCACAGGACTCAGAGCTGAATGCTACTGCAGTGTCTGCATTGCTCTACATGCCCTTGTGGGGTTTGAGACTATGGGGATGCTTACACCAGTTTTAGTTCACTGGAGGAATACATGGCTCCTTTCTGGGGAGGAGGCATCATCCTTGAGGTGAGAGAAAAATACTGGAAGGCAGCAGCAGCTCTGGGCACTCGGCAAAATGAAATTAGAATGCAAAATTACAGAAAGAACTGCTAGTATTTTAGCCTACAAGACAAACACACAAAGTAAAGATGGTGAAGATGAAACTTAAACAAGTGTTTTGTCCATCATTGTACAAAGACAAATGGGAATGAAGTGAAGAATAAGAATACCAAAGCTTACACCATGTTGCATTGTCCTCCAGATAGTCCTCTGGGAAGCAAGAGGGAAACAGATTCAGGGAACAGAAAAACAAAACAGAACAAAACAAAATAAACCACAGGTTATACCAAACAGGCAACCACAGAGAAGATAACGAGTCTTTATAAGCAGTTGATTTTAAATGAGAAACTTTAGATTATGCTCTACAGAATCAGGTGTTAAAATTATGTAATTTTTGACAATTTAAAAAATTTACTGATCTTCAGGTGTACTTGCTAGATGCCTGGACTAAGATTGTCACTTTTTGGCACTTTGTAATAGAGGGATAAGGAAAGATTTCTCTGAGCTGTTCAAATGTATACTTTAGGAGGAGATGAATTGTGCTTTAGAAATATGTGATCTCAAATCAGTTGCCTAAACCCATGCTTAGATAACAGAACTAAAGCCTTTGTTTCTCTCTGTCAACAGTCAAAATGACAGTCATCTGGACTCAAATCAAGATAGCTTCTTCTAAGTATCTGCACTATGGAATTCTACACTGAATCAGAAAAGTCCTCATTTTTGCTGCTGTTACAGCCAGTATAAGGTGGAATACAGCTATTGAAATGTAGGCAGAGCAAGTCAATTTAGCACCTCTGAGAGATTCCATTTAACTTCCAACCTGGTCTCCTGTAACCTTGCTTTCACCTTTGGATGTCTTGGAGAGCACAGGCATCTCAAAGAGCATTAGGTGACTGTGTTCATGTAGCTGAATTTCACAGGGTGCAACCTGCAGAGAAAGCTGGGGCTCAGTTCTGCTCTCCCACTTGGATGTCTCATAGTGGACATCCTCTAGGGTGTTCTATCCAGACTTCAGATGCCAATCCAGGGGAGCATAAGCATCTCAAATTACTGTTCTAGCTTCCTGCTCAGTTAGATGACTCAAATACTCCGAGGTATTCCAGTCTTGTCTATCTACATGTGCATATTCCAACGGAGTCTTTTATTTCCCAGTCTTTGAGAGAGGTCTGTGACAGATGGGGTGAATCACTCTCCAAAGATGTGTGTCTCTCTCCATTGGCCTCTGAAAGAGCCTGACTTTAGGCCCAGTGCTGTGAAGATGTCACTGAATTGTCAGAGCATAAGTGTCTTGAATTGCTTCTGTAGTATATTCAAGCCAGCTCCCCTCTGCTGCTCCAGAAGTGTGCTGGTCTCCTTGAGTCCCCTGCTGGTCCCATATTTCAGATACTCTAGGATGTCTCAGATGGTGCTTTTCATCCATGCTGAGACAAGTCTCCCAAGCTCTACATAGCTTCCTAAATACATCAGATGCTTTAAAACCACATATATCACAGCTTTTGGGGGATATTTCAATTTTTCCGCATTTCTTAAAATTAATTTTGATCTATTTCTTATTTGTTAAGCCTTATTTGTTACAATAACACAGAGAAATCACTTTCCCTCCTTTTGAAATGGAATAGCTGGGTTAATAGCATGAGCTCAGGCAAGGATGAAGGAGCACTTTTTCAGATGGGCTGAGTACCTGGTGGTTTCAGTGTAGGCTTCTTATGAGGGATGCTTTGTGCAACCTACCTGATAAAGTATGCCCAACTGAATTAAGCTTATAAGTGGGGATATGAGCAGGACAAAAACAGAATTCAGTTCAGATATGCTGCATGTTTGTATAACATTGAGATGCAGAGGAAATATTTTCTAAACTTGGTTTCTTGTGCTGTCAAAGACAGATGAAAGCAGAATGGTTTGTCACTTCTTTTGAGGTTTTTGTAACTGTATGTTTGGACTTTATGTTGACAGTTTAAAGTCAAGTGGTCTGACAGTGTTTCATGAATACACACTCCAGAACAGACTTCTAAAAGCATTAAAGTAACACTGAACAGTCTTCTGAATCACAAGAAAAAACTCGTTTCTTATACCTATAACAATCAAAATGGTCTTTAAGTGTTTGAAAATACCATCAAAGTACTAATATTGCAGTGTATTTATATGAAGTAAGCAACAGCAAATGATCAGTGGCTAGAGGAGAAAACTTCTGTGCATGGGATCCTCCTTACACCCTGTTGACAATGCAAGGATTAGGAGTATCCAAATGAAGCTGGTCCTCCAAGCCCTGGCTACAGTTAATGAAGAGAGATATGTCATTCAGGGAATGATTCAGCACATGGAAAGCTGAGGTTCCAACACAGGTTAAATAGTGTTTCTGCAAGGCAGGAGTGTAGCATTTATATCCTTCTGGATAAAATTACCCAAGATGGTGTGAGAAGCAGGCAGTGACCTTTCCTGAGAGCTGCTAAGGGATTACAGCTCTGAAATAAGGCCGTCTGCTCTAATCCACATAAACTACCTTTCCTAGCTCTACTGAGATCAGCAGCCATCTCTGAATTGAGAGATGGCTGGTCCCAGCCCAGAAGGAGACAACACATTCATCACTGACATTTCAAGATGGATTTGATACCAGCACTCATCATTAACAGACCATAAATAGTAATTATTTTAGATACCACCAGCAAGAACAGGAAATAGGAATTTGATTTGAACATTTTTTAAATGAACAGCAGCAATGCTAAACTCTTTGGTTTTTTTTTTTTTTCCTGAAATAATGCATGAACAAGACTAGTTAAATCATATGGAGATAAGTTCCCCTTTTAAAGTCTAGAAGTCATAAAGAATTATCTGTATTGGCAACTTTCATTAGTTTCAGCCTTTAAAGGCTGGCAGCATAGGACACATCTCTGCTTTATTCAGTGTGCTGTTCAGTATTTTGCAAGTTAGTATCTTGAAAAGGATATTAATGTGTTCAGAACTATCTTATGTCAATATGTAATGCATCTTAAACCTTCCTTTTTCATTACAAAAATGCTTGAACTGTTTTTACATCATCAGACTAATCCAAGCTGAGCCGTGCTTCCAGCCCCTTCCTTTTTATGCTCTTTCTCCCATTTCAGCTGTTTGCAACCTTAAGATTTGACAAAGCATGATTGAAACCTAAAGGCTTTGGTGACCTTTCACTTCACCTTGGCCAATTCTACATTAAGATCCAGGCCTCTGCTCCGAGCAATGCAGAAGGACTGGTTCTCTGAATCTAAAATGAATGGGTAAAATTAAGATCCCATCTAATATAGATTGAGTATTGCTAGTCAGATTTTTAGCCTGAGATGTTGCACTGCACTATGATGCTGCTGTGGTTGGATCTACAATGGATGTAAGCATCTTCTCTGTTTCTCCTTTTAGTATAACCAGGCTACAGTATTTCCAGAAGTGCAGAGAACTAACAAATATTGCTTTTTGCTGCAGGGTAATCCCAAGTCTTGACTAGAAATGGCATGTTATTTTCCTATTAGGTTGCCATGAAAATGGACAGAATAGAGTACATAGAGTACAACATAGACAGAGGTGATTGGAAAGACTTGGGACCGTGAAGAACTACTGTGACATCCCATGAATTTGATAAATGGTGGCGTCAAGAAGATACCTGGGTCTTCATTTGCATTGGTAAATTTGGGTGCTCTCTTTGGCAAGACAGACCAGTGCTCTGCAAGTGTGCAGCAATCAGCTGAGGAGGGCATGTGGTACAGCCTTTTTTAAATCAGAAGCTCTTCAGTTTTGCTCATCGGTTTTACCTACAGACTGCTGGGACGGTACTAACAGCTGTACTAATTATCCCTCTATAAATCTATAGATGTATAAATAGCAGGAACATTGAAGTCTGAAATGTGAATCCAATGATTGGTAGTAAAGAAAATAATCTTATGTTGAAGTATTGTTTTCCCAAAATGATTGAATAAGTAAAGCAAGATTAATGATCACTGAGGTTTTAGCTGATTAAGTCAATTGTTGAGATGGATGGAAATAAAGCAGTGGTAATTTTATAATTAAGTAAAGAAGTGAAACAAATTGAGGTGCCTTTGGAAGGGTGTAAGTTAAAGAGCTAGGTGATAAAAATGGCCTTAATACATAACTTTTTTTATAAGATAAACAAATATAAAATACTTTTGTGGATCACTTTTGATACATAATTTATACTGCAAAGTACCTGCAAAGGCTTATGTGGTTTCTGGCCTGTAGGAAAGAATTTATTCTCTCCTAACAAGTCTAATACATAAAAACTGAGCCATATTGCTCTCCTACAATGAAATTCCATACCGTTTCCAGTGGAGAAAAAAAGCTTTACTGAATGCTGGAACAGCTGGCAAAGAAATTATAAAGTATGATTATAAAATTATTAAATCAGGAGATGACCATCTTCTAGTATATAGTCAAGCCTTTTGTACTAATCTGAAAATGGAATATATTTTGCCTTACCAGCCTATCCAAACTTGTGCCAGCAGCAGTTGTAGGTCTCTCCTCTGGGATGTATGGTCTAAACCGGGTATTGAAGTTTTCAGGGACAGAACGGGAAGATCTCAGGGCAGGTGCTGGTTTAGGTTGGCCACATCCTTGGAAAACCTGAAGAAAGACATTCTTGGTTATATGTTGGTTAAATGAGAATCATAAAAAAAGGAAAGCTGGTATTTTGTAGCCTCTTTATTATTTTTTTTGTACACTCAAAACAAGACTTTATTGACATTTTTATACTACTGAATTGAGTGCTTGGCCTGCATCAAAACTCAGGTTAATAATTTAGCATTATTAATCACTTGGTGAAGGTATAGAAACATATAGGGACCTTAAAACCCCCTTAATTTAAGAAGGTGATTATTATGAGAAATTAACATCTGAAAGCATCTTAATTGCTGTCTTCCCAGGAAGAGAAATACACAAAAGGATGTCCTTTGTGGCAGGACATAGTTGATAACTGTTTTCAGTTTTGTTAAAATGCAGTATTTACCCAGAATCACAGGGCATCCATAATCCCTACCTACAGCTCTTTGTACCTTGCCATCTTATTTGTAGTCTTAGAGAAAAGTCAATGATGAAATAGTTTTGTAACTTGGATAACTTTCTTATTCCCTCCCAGTCTCTCCCTAGAAGGGTGAGGCAGACTGAGTGGGCGACAGTGATAATTATTTTCTGCTAGTGTGTTTGTTTTCTGGGTATAGAAAATAATGCTCGCAGTTATGAAATTTTTCATATACTTCCATCTGGAAAAAAGTTTCAATGTTGTGTATCTGGTAGGTACTAAAGGACACAGAAGGCTACTGGATATCAAGCATATTTCCCAGAGGCATTTTCACACAAGCTGCACATCTGAAAAAAGGTAGAAAATCCACTGAGTTAAAATTTTCAAGCGCTCTCATGAAGTAGAATCCTAGTGTTTGCCTTCACACCAACTTTTTCAGTTTTAGAATCACCCTTCTGGTTTTGTGACCATTGTATTTTGACTATTTCAACATTTTGCCTCCATTCAAAAAAAGATGAATTAAATGTCAGAATTTCTCATGAGTTATATTATACAAAACCCTTATGACATACACAGACTGTTTGAATGAGCTTTGTGGGGCTGAAAACTGTGCAAATGCTGTGTTTTGGTTGTAGGACCAAATTATTCCTTTTTGTGTGGCTATGTTGGTTTCTGTGGCCAGGTTTTGGTAGTGGGGGGACTAAAGGGGTGGTTTCTGTGAGAAGCTGCAGCAGCTTCCCCCATGTCCAGCAGAGCCAACGGCAGCCAGCTCCAGCACAGCTCTGCTGGCCAAGGCTGGGCCAGTCAGAAATGACAGTAATGCCTCTGTGATAACATTGTTAAGAAGGAAAATAAAGTCATTGTGCAGATGAAATTGTGGCCAGGGAAGAGCAGGGTGAGAACATGTGAGAGGAACAGCCCTGCAGACACCAAGGTCAGTGCAGAAGGAGGGGCAGGAGGTGCTGCAGGTGCCAGAGCTGAGATTCCCCTGCAGCCCCTGGTGCAGCCAGCCCATGGTGAGGCAGCTGCGTCCCTGCAGCCCATGGAGGTCCCTGGGGATACAGAGATCCACCCTCAGCCCATGGAGGACACCCACACCAGGGCAGGTGGGTGCCTGGGAGGAGGAGGCTGTGACCCCGTGCGAGGCCTGTGCTGGGCAGGGTCCTGCAGACCCGTGGGGAGAGGAGCCCACACACTGGAGCAGGTTTGCTGCAGGATTGTGACCCTGTGAAGGGACCCACATGGAGCAGGCTGTGCCTGAAGGACTGCACCCCGTGGGAGAGGGACCCAAGTCCATGGTGCAACTTCTGTTTCTCTCAGGATACATTAAATTGGCTCTCAGTTCGGTTTCCTGATGTTAATTTAGAGGCCCCAAATGATTCAAAGTTTGCTGAAATAAGCTGATTAATACTAAATATATGTCCAGTCATCAGGTCTGCTTTGGCTTAAAGTCCAGCAAGTCAGCTGTTGTATGGCCATTGGGATTTTTAATTTATGAGTGGAATAATGTTTGGTCTGGTTTGAGAATATCTGTTTTAAGAGTTTCAAGCCTCCCTAGTCCTGAGGACTATTGGACAGTAAATTAATTTAATCAACAAAGAAAAAAGATTTTAGCTTGTAAAGCTCTAAACCTTTCATCAGGAAAGAATCTTATTTTTCTTCTATAAAGAAAATTCAACTAAGATTAATATTCAAGATTTGTACGTGATTGTGTAGTACAATTTAAAGGGTGAAATCTGTACTTTAAGAGCGTGAATTATACTTACAAAAGTTTACTTAAGTGTCTTCTGACTCGAGATAAGTTATGCACTGAAAACATAAATGCTTTTTAGATATCTATGAAATCCCATTTACTCAATTAAGCAACTGGGTATTTTCCTATGAAGCAAGTGACAATTATACAAAACATACAACCAGATTCTCAGGAGAAAGGAAAGTGAGGGAATGTCTCCTTAAAAGTCCCAGTGTGTGATTGTTAAGCTACTTGTATGGCCATGTGGTGCAACTGCAAGTCTACATAATTTATATAACATCTTTCTTATGATGTACTGAAAAGAACCCAGCAGAGACTTTGTGGCATTTATCTTCATACAAATAGTTTCAGCAAGTGGCTTTATACAAACAAATTTACATACAGTCAGACAATAATAGAGATGGAAACTAGACAGTAATATTTACATGACAGAAAAAGAAATAACTTGCTTTTTAAATGACCTAACAGAAATGCAGTAAGGATACAATATTCAGTAACTGAATTTTGAGTGCAAAAGAGACATTTTAAAATTTGCATCCTGGTATTGACAGAACACAAAACGTAAAGATGATAACTGATATTCACAAATGCTTCCTAAGAAGAAGCACATGAAATACTTTCTTTACAATGCTACTGAGAGGTATTGAACAATTTTGGGGAATATATTCAGGTGTTTCATTACATATGCTGTGAATTGGTAGCATAAACCCACTCTCTAAAAAATTGGTGCAGTCCATTTAATCTGAATTTTGAGAATAGATTCCATTTGAAATTTAGAAAGATAACTTTAGTTGTCATCATATATGTGTCTACATTTAAGCTATACATCTAAGATAGGGGAGATCAAAAGCTTCCTTCTGTTTCTCTCTCATCAGCATCTACAGTCATTTGGGATGTTCTGGGATATCTAAGACACCTGTTATGATTTTATAACACGAAACCATTCCCCGCTGAACTACCATTAAAGCTCAAATGGACCAAATCTCTATGGTCAGGGATATGAACCAAGCCGTGAGAACAAGTCAACAGAGCCAGTGAAGAATTACATCTCTTGAGCTGACTAAATGGAAGTATCTACTTCAGGACTAGGATGTAGATACTGTAGAAAAAAGAGCCCTTTTCCCAGGAGAATTTGAAGTTTTGAATTTTTGCAGAAGATGAATTTTGTTCTCTGTGAAACCTTGGGTCATACTGTTATTTAGCCATGTGCTAGTGCTCAGTGTTTCCAGTTGAGTGTCTCTATATGATTCTGCTCCATTGACTCTTCAAATAGAATAGCATTGATTTTTTTACCTGAAATACCATTATATTTTTCCTGCACAGAGCTCTGGAAAGAACACAGATAAATGAAGCAGTTTTCTTAGTATGAAACTTGTGGACTATTTTAAGAAGAACCTTGGATGTAGTTCTGTGAAGATATCCTCCTTATAAATAATGCATAGGTGGTCTGCTATGTCATGGAGCTCATTCATCCATTTAGCTGAAGTAATTGCCGAGAAGGAACATATATTTATAGGTTAAAATGGCACATCCATCAACTCAGATAAAAGTAGATTTAAGACTTACTAAGGAGAAACTCAGTTATGGGATAGACTATATGAAAGTGGAAAAATATTGTCATGGCAGCCAAATTACTCTTTCAGCAGTCTAACATACTTGTATAGGACTAGACAGTTGCAGAAAATAGTTCAATATGTTGTTTTTTGAGCAGCAATGGAGACATGATTATGCTGATGCAACCAGATTAGGAAATTTCTCCATTGTGAAAAAAATTGGATGTTATAACATCTTTGTGCTGTTTTTTGAGTTTTCCTCCACTTGTGAAGGAGCAATCTCTGCAGGTATCAACTAGTAAACATTAATGTTTTTAAAATGGAGCAGATGTAGCATTTACTTTTTGACTTGAAGCAGGAACCGAAGGTGTTGGTACTGACAGCCTTGTGGGAAGATTGTGAAGGCTCTCAAAACAGGCTTGTTTTGGCCAAGATTGAAATGAGTATTTATATGTTATGACTCTGAATATGACTACCTGAATTACCTCAGGGAGAATGAGAATGACAATGAGAATAAGGTAAATGCATGCTATGACTAAGTCTTGGATATGAGCTGAACCTTGGGAAACAATGCACAAAATGTAAAAATTTTGCCTGAGAAATAATCAACATGTTGCTGAGCACTGAATTTGGCACTATGTTGTTCAAATACCAAAAAAGTGTTACTGGAGAATTACAAACAGATTTCAATAAAGAGGACACTCTGTCTCAGCTACTATAAGCAGAAATCCAAGGTAAATCTACTGCACCATGACTTCTGCCAGAGGCAACTTTCAGGGAACATTAATCTGGGTAGACCCAGCCTGCAAGGTCTATTCTTAAAAGGTGCTGATGTCTTGGGAGGCATCTCAGGCAGCCCAGGCTGGTTGTTTTGCACTCTCTGTGCTGTGGTTTGTGGAAGGAACTCTGTAAGAATGGCTGCAGGCGTTAGATGACGAATCTATGGAAACTGGTTTTGATGATCAGCAGTCCTTGTCTTCTCTTGGAGGAGGGAAAATTTGGGCATATTCAGAGTACATAGATCCTTCCAGCAGCCTTGGGGTGTGACTTTCTATACCATTGCTCTTTTTTGACAAGCATCTCCAGTTGTCACAGCTGTCAGGAATGGGACTCTCCCTAAGGCAAAATAAGGACCTTGTGTGGCTGTCATTAAGGGACATGACAGGTGTGCAAAGTGAGCAGCCAAGAAGCCTAGAGATTTGTGGTCAGACTTCCTGGACAGCCAGTGCTGAATATGAAAAAGACTAAGAAAACAGAGAAAGATTACAGCCTCAGCATGAATTGGAGGGTTTTAACATAATACTAGCACATGTTTAATGTGAAATGTGCTAGAAGAATTTACTGTAATCATCACACAAACAAGAAAAGCTAATGACCTAGGAACAGAGATGCTCCATTTTATGCAGTGAGAGATACTGGAATGTGTCTGAGTCTGAATGTCCTTGGTCAGCAAGACAAAGATAGAAGAGGTACATGTGGTATCTCTTTAATTCTCTGTCTCACTATTGATGCGCAGCTATCAAAAGAGGAAGACAGAGGGTTTGTGTCTTCTAAGGAAATGAAAGACAAGGAGTGAACTCAAGCAATAAGCCTTGACTTTCTGCACTGATTAATTGTTAAGTCATTGGCTTTTTCTTGGGCTTTTGGAATAGGGCAATTTTATATCACTATATGAAACAGGAACGCTGGATTTTGGATTAAATAAATGGGTCTTCTGCCTACAAAGAGGATGAAGTAATTGAGAGCTCCTCGAGGAAGAAATCTTTTGTTTTCATATTTTAAACTCCTTTTAAAAGAAAAAACAACATTATATAACAGGGCAGAAATATCTACTGAATACAGCATAGATTCTTCCCCCAGACTCAACCAGATTTTTAGATAGAAAAAGCTGCATGAAGTGGTGAAAAACAATCTATGTGTGGGTGTTGCAGGCATAAAATTATTAGTGCATCATCATTTTTCCACTGTAAAAAGGCACTGACTGACTTGGGGAAAAATAGCTATGATTCCTAGTCACCACATTTTTCAGTAGGTACAGTTGAATAAAAGGTACAAAATTGTCTGAAGAATGAGAAAATAGAAAAGATCATCCTTCCAACACCCTGCTTGAAGCTTTCTGAGTGGCATCTCAGATTAATCGATGAGAGTGGTTTTTCTCCCACATTAGGTTTGCAGTTGCATTCCATGCACCCCACTACATCTGGTGAGGTGTCTGTCATTTCCCCTGAAGCTCTAAGTGGTCAATTTGTATAAGGGGGAAAAATTAGATGACAGAAGATGGATCAAAGTCTGCTTGTATATCATCTTTGCAAGTCTGACCTGGCATAGAAGAGGACGGCACTATACCCAAAGCCTTTGCCTTTTTATAAAAGGGTAAAGCATTTCCATGTTACATGAAAAAAGATGGCTGTAACCTAGGAGATCAAGGAAATCACATTTCACAGGAATAATCGTGTACAGAGAACATACAAAGGTCCCTCAAGGATAGACAGCTCTGTTATCTATGAAAATATAATGAAATAAATTTTGCTGATATAATTTCTTTTCTGTTCTACAAGATTAAAAAAATATTATCTAAGGTTTCTCTTAGAGGAAAAACTATTGCATTGCAAATGGCATTGCTATTAATCTTTACAGCAAATAAAATATTTGTGAGGGACAGGAGAAACAGTCTGCTCTGCTATGAACAAATAGTGAGATGAGCTCATGTCAAAACATCACTGGACTCTGGCAGGGGATGCAGCTTTCCAGCTAATGGAAAAACTGTGAAAACCAAACAGTAAAAAGGAAAAAAATCAAAAGTAAAAAGGAAAACAAAATACACCTGGACCTGGGGTGAGTTTTAAGTGAAAATATTTTTTGTTTCTTTTTTGAGGTAAGAGCTGAGTTTGCTGAAGCTGACCTTTAATTCCCAAAATATTTGAGAGAATTTGGCTGTTAAACACCTTGATGACTGGTGCCAGAATAAAGTCTCATCCTGCAGGATGTAGACTGCTTTTAAAATCCAAGGAACTTCATGTAGGTTGAAAGCAAAAGGCACATTGAAGGAAACTCTTAGCAACCTGCAGCACTGGGGCCATAAAAAGCATCTAATTTTGGGTTGACAGGAAGAATGTAAACCTCAGGCTCCTGCTTTTTGTCCCCACTTTTTTTTTTCCCCAGCTACAACAGCTTCCTTCCAAGCAATGGAAAATCACTGACTTAGATGGCAATCTGGCCAGCACCTGACTGACTGACTGACTGACTGACTGCTGGGATTTAAATGGGAGGTAGAAGCTCCTAATGCAGATAGCTTGGCGAACTGTTGACTTTAGAATTTCAGCCACAGTGCACTGATGAATATTAAGGCAAAGCCATTAATTGTTGACTATTGGCTCAACAGCACCTGCTACTGAATTTGAAGGATCTTATTAACAGGGGGTTCAGAGGTGGTGGTGACCTGTGTGTACACACACATATTAAAAATGGAAAGGAGGCAGCCGGTATCATTAGCTCTGTTTATCTTTGTGTCAGAATCCAGACAAAACTCTATCAAACTGAGGTCTGGTAATCAGAGACCAGCCAATGTAGTGTTTCCCTAGAGTGGCTATTAAAGGAGGTCAAATGGAACATTTTGTGTATTCACCTCAAACACATTGTGCTCAGTCTGACCTAGATAAATCAAAATGTGTTTGGAAGTTAATATGGAGAATCACAGATGAGACACAAGTGGAAGTTACCAAGTATACTCTGCAGGATAATGCTTACAGAGTTACCACTGGCTTTCAGAACTGTCTATTTTCCTTAAATCTCTTACAGCTATTACTTTGAAGTTTAATAAATGGTAGCTTTTTCCCTTCCACTTCCTTTTGAAAAATTCAAGCTTTTTAACTAGTTTAACAAGGAATTCAAAGCCAGTCTGGTGAACTGTTGAACAAGCAAAAGTAATTTCTGGTGGTCTGGACAATCCTTCTTAAAGTCTAGACAGAAAAATTGGTGGAAATGTTTTTCCCCCCACTTGTGACATTCAATAACAGAGAAGGCACGACTGACACAGTACCTTTGCTGACACCTGCATGCTGTTCTCTTGCATGTTCATGATGGCTTCAGAAATCTTGACATCAATAGGATCCATGACTGATTCAATGTTGAATGGTCCCTCTAATCTCTCCGCTACCAGAAGCATAGCATCTGTTAAAACACAAAGCAGCCATTCCCTTAAAGAAGGGATACCTTTGGGGTCCTCAGGCAGAGCAGCACTGCCAGCTGTAGGTGTGGATACTGAGCACTTCTCAGCAGGAGTCTGGGGCAATGTGTGGCAGCAGCACTGTGAAGCCTGCAGGGCAGCTTCCCAGCTGTCAAAAATATCTTCCCCTACTGCTGCCACCACAGAAAGAGGAATAAAGACTTTAAAAGTTAGTTTAATATTAGTTGCCATAGCATTATCAAGCTTGGGGTAAAATTATTTTACACAGCTTCTTGAAGCAGCCAGTGCTTTGGAGTGTACTTATGTAATCTCCTTCCCAAGAAAAAGCAGGATGATAGAAATGAATCCTTGGGGTATGTTCTTAGAATTTGTGTGAGATGATGAAAATTTTGATATGATCTATTGGGGTGTTATAATTAAAGCAGCTGTTCTTTCTGACCTTAATGATCTCATTTTCTTGCAATATGAACAGCAGATGAATATTGGATTCCTGCCATAGTAAATAGGTATAAACCATGTTTGCCTTGCTACATTTTCAAAACATGGCTGTAAGTTGTATGTAAGAGGATGTAATGACTGGACAACGGGTCATGGCTTTGAACTGAAAAATATATTGTTTTTATGTTTTGTATTAAAACTAAAAAGTTTGTTTATCTTCTGTTAGAGCCCCTCTGCAAAATAATTTAATCTTTTGATGTTCATTAACAAGTGAAAAGCAAGCAATTGAACAGAAATTCATGGCAATAATAAAGGTTTTGCCATGAATCAGGTACATTTGTCTATACACAGACAAAAATTTATCATAATTTATGTGGCAATAGCCATGTGATAAACTGGATTTACAGTATATCCTTTGAACAGCATATGAACAGGATCCTTGTCTCCCATGTTAGATTTAAAGTTTTCAGCAACTAATTAGCTTTAAGCAGCTGATGCTTGTAACCTTAGCACAATAAACAAAAATCTTCACATGCTCTCTTCTTTATACATCAGACTTAAGCTCCAGAAAGTACCAAGCAGACTTCCTTCTGAAACAGACCCATGCCTGCTTTGCTGTTTTAGGCACCAGTCTCACAGCAGCTGTGTGGAGAAGGCATGGAGCTCTCTATAGATCTGATTGCAGTGCTTGTTGTTAGCTTTACACTTGGGTGCAAGTCACAGAGGTTTGTTCCAAGATGTGGACATCTTCTCCTTCCCCATAAAAGCACAAATGCAAGGAGGTGTGGGAAAAAGGGGCTGGTCTCACTCTAGTAGTTTAGACAAACACCTCCATGCACAGCCTTACCCAAGGACTGCATAAAGTTGTTTATATGCTGTCAGTGCATACCCAGAAATCCCACTGAAACTGGAATTGCTTGGCATGTAGCACCAAAGCACTTCTGCAAATTTACATCTAATAATTCACAGTACTTTTAGGCTGGAAAGAGTGTAATGCCAGTTATTTGGAGTGAGGTGTATAGCACTTGTTGCTAACTGTGAGAAATGCACAGATGATAGGAAATTGGTTTCAAGCAGAGGTGTTATTTTGCCTGCACCTTATTTTAAATTTCTGTACTTTATAGCCTTTCCAGTGGGAAGTGGAGAAAAATAGGAACTACTTCTGACAGAGAAAACAGTTTTCATATACACAAAGACACACACATCCATACACACATGCACACACACTTACAGATTACAGCAATAAGTTTGCAGTTTTTCCAAATGCAAAAAAAAAAAGAGAATTTTTAAATATGGGCTCCTATGCAGTATTTTCTTCCTCATGTTCAGAATGACTTGAATAAAACATTTATGATTTAGTACTTTGTGAGCAATGTGATCAGCTTAAATCCTAGGTGCCACAACCAGTACCAGGCCTTGTTAGGGCACAGGTCTTGGTGGCTGAATTTTGGTAGTTTACTTCAGGAATAGGGTTAAGATTAGGGTTACTGTGTAAAACAGTCAAAAGTATTTGTGTTTCTTTGTTTGTTTTCTTTTTTTTTTTTTTTTTTGTTTGGTTTGGTTTGGTTTGGTTTTTTTTGGTAGGAGTACATTACATTTTAAGCTAAGGACAGGTGCCTCTTTATATGAGTCCACTTTATTTTGGCAGCTGGAAGGTTGGAAAAATCTAGTGCTAAGCCCTAGTATGTGTTCAGGGACTGTGCTGAAGCAGAGTTCTGTAAATACATAATTGCTGGAGATCTCTTGTGGGAATGGGTGGTGGCTCCAGCCTATCTGCTGCTTCTTCTGATGGCATGGGGCAATAGCTCTGAATTAAACCTTGAAGTGAAATCTCAGCTATGTGGCAGAAAAGTGCATCACCTTTAACTGAACAAGAACCACAGTTTTAAGAACAGCCTTTCCTCAAGGAAAGTGCCTTCAACTCTAAAATGAATAGCTCTAGGAGATGCAAACTAAAAATCTGTTCCTGGCTTAAACAGTTTGTATCTATGGAAAATAACCTTTAGCTAATCAGCTTCTATTTTCTGAACCTTAAGCCTATTCATAGACTTAATGTTTATATATACATATATATATATATATATATATCTGTATCTATATCATCTATATCTATATCATCTATCTATATCTCTATCATATATCTATATCTATATCTATATCTAATCTATATCTATATATCTGTATCTAATCTTTATCTATATATCTATAATCTATATCATCTATCTATTAATCATTGTTAAGGAAGAGGGCAAAGGCTGAGGAATGTGTATGATTCCTGGCTGCCAAAGGTGATCTTTTTGTTATGTTGAGTTCTTTCTTTGATATGGTATGGTAGAGGTCTGATGATGCTTTCAAAGCTGAGGTTCAAGTTAGCTTAGAGTCAAGTTTATATTTCAATCACATGGGCTATAGCTTTAAGCTATTGCTCTACATAAAGGAAAGGAAGAAAGTAAGAGAAAATAAAAGAAAACAAAATGAGAGAAAATAATAAAACAGTAAATCCCTGCTTCTCCATATTCTTTAATTTCTGTTTCCTTCTCTGACTTGGAATGATTCTGGACCACTCCAGGTAGCTATTCCTATCTTAAGTCTATGGAGTGAGAGGCTATGAGCCAACAGTGATACTTGACATTAGAGCCTTGTGATCTTTAATTATATCTTAAAGATATGCCTGGGGAGCAAGGGGTTAAGGGAAAAATAGAATTGGAAATATCCACACCTTTATTGATGACAGGTACATCTTTATATCAGCAGTTTGTATTTTTGTTTTGGGGTTAGGATGTTTGGAGATAGGACTAATGCTGAAGTAGAGGCCTATACAGGGATATATTTGAAGAGGAAGAGTCTGAGAAACGGATTAAATTCTGTGCCAAGAGATGCTTGAAGGGCTGAAGTAAAACAGGTTCCTCCTTCAACATTATTTCTGAGACTAACGCAAGTTATGCTTCCAGTTACTGCTCAGTTTAGGGATCAGCTCAGACTAGAAGTCTTGGACAATTGCACAGTTCAGATGAGTTCTTGCAGAAATGGAAATTTAATTAATATTTGAGGACTCATTTTTATTTCAGTTCCAGCAGCTTTGTGGGGCAATGGCTGACTTAGCAGTGACCAGGCTGCTGGGTTATTCTTGTCTCCTTCTGGTAGGAGTACTACAAGCTCAGTCTAGCAAAAGAGGATGAACAAGTGGCATTTCTATGAATGGCAAAATTATTTTCTTAGCCTCTGTCTGACTGGGCTCTTCCTTCAACCTTTTTTCTAACCATCATGCTGTTCCTGACTAAATCAAACATATCCAGATGACACCTGACAGCCACAGACTGAGAGAAGCCTGGAAGAACAAGGTAGTCTTATTATTGAATGTTATTAGTGAATGTTCAGGCCCCTTGGGAACAAACTCACTTGTGTATCTAACTAGCTTGATACTATAATTTTTTGAGTTAGGCCTCAGATTTAAATTAAGACTGAATTTTTCATCCATAACATTGATTTCAAGGAAGAAACGCTGAACAGTGTTTAAGGTGAATTGCTCTCTTGGAAAATATTTCCTCAGGTCATTAGGTTGAGCTCTCTTTTTTGCCAATCCTAACTCTCACTACAGTGATAAACTTTATTATTCACTTGTACAGTTCCATATGAGCACATGCATACCAGCTAGCCTGTGCAATTGAGTGAAAAGGAAGCTGTTAGGTTGAATACAGTGAAAATCAGATGAAATGTAATAAGCTGAGATTTATGACAGGACAATCAAAACATTTTAATGGTCCTCACCTAACTGTAGCTCTTCAAATCTCTAATCGTGTATCAACAAACACAACATTGCTGTCCCAAATCCTTTTTTTTTCCTTCTAAAAATGTTGTGAATATTATTACATGAGAAACTGGGAAGATTTCAATATGGTGTTCAGAAAATATAGATGCTTTAGTCTTGAAATCCTAATTCTGAAGAACAGACCCTTGAACTGGACAAAAGCCTAGTTGAGTTCAGTGTAAATCTGAGTGGGCTTAATAATTTCTCAATCACCTCAAATAGTAGATATTGTGAACTCAAATATTGTTTGTCCTATAAAAAAATATGAAAACTGGGTGATCGACTCACCCGTATTTTATGTTGTTAATATACTTGGACTGTCTTTCTTCAATTACATATGTTCTTGATTTTTCCTCTTTTGTATTTTTCCAAATCTGCCTTCTTAGGTTCAGTATGTGTTCTTCATGTACTACAGCATCTGGCAAAAATCTGGCATCTAGCTGCCAGCTGGGCTGAGTGGATCAGGAACTCGGTTTAGGTGAGTCATTCTCGTGCTGTGGGTTTGTCAGGGACTTGGAAACAATAGATGTGACTAATTGCTTGCTTGAGGACACAGGCTTGCCAATGGCCCTGAGAAAGTGCAGAGCAGATGGCACACCTGGGTCACCATCAGTGCTGCTGCTCTCAGCCTCTCCAGGATGCTGAAAACAAGAGTGGGGACCTTCCTGATGCAGTAACCCCCTAAAGTCTACTGAAGGCCTAGGGTGTGGTCCAAGGGCCCCCAACAAGTCTCTGCCA